TGAGTGGTTGTATTGGCTGTGTTGATAGTTGTCAACCTTTGCTCTTCTCTGGCCACTTGCCCTGCAGGTGTTTCTAGGTCCCAGAGCGGGGCTCCCTTTTGCTCCTGCTGACTCTGGAAAAGCTAACCAAGAACTGTTCTCTGAGTACTTGGCTCAGTGGCATTGTTTCCTTGTATATTATAGAAATAGCTATCTGTGCTGTGTTTGGAAGAAGATGTAGATGATCTGGGTTTTAGATTTATACTAAAAATCCCAAGTCATTCATTCAGAAGCAAGTACCTCCATTAGGCCAGGTCCTCTGTTATATGCTTGAGTTGTGGCAGAGAACAAGTCAGGAAAGGTTTTGACATTTAAGCTGAAACCTAAAAGGTGAGGAGTTAGCTAGCTGAAGAGTAGAAGTCCAGAGACTGGGTGCAGCATGTGCAATGGTCCTGAGGTCAGAAGGACCTTAATGCCTGTGGGGCAGGAAGGAAGGATGGCCAGGCTGGAGAACAGCAAGAGAGGGAGACAAAGGCTTTAGAGGAGGCTGGGTTAAAAGATAGAAAACATGCCCATTTCAGGTCTGGAGGACATGCTAAGGATTTAGAATTAATCATAAGAAATTCAGAATTTATTGTGGGGTTTTTAGCAAGAGACATAACTTTGATATAGGGGAATGAATTGGAAGGGACCAAAAGGGGCTTGAGGGGAATGAGGCTTTTGTTATTTTTATTGTCGTCATCATTAATAGCAGCTAATATTTATCATTTCTTTGCTATGGGGCAGAGACTTTGCTCACCATTTATCCTTACTGTCTCATGTCGACCTCACAACAACCCCAGCGAGGTGCTCTTATTATCCTTGTTTTACAGATGAGAAAACCAAGACACAACCCAGTGAGGTTAAACAGGTTGCCCAGGATCATATAGCTAGTAGGTGGCAAAGGTGGGATTTGAATCTGGGCACTGTATGATTCTGGACCCTATTCTGTTAGCCAGTGGGCTTGTGTTTTCAGTGTATGAGGTGATGGGCCACTATTGATTCTTGAAATTGAGTGGATCGCAACTGGATTTTTTTTTTAAACGGATAGAGTAGAAATTAGAGTACTTTGCACTAGTAAGGTAAAATGTTGACAGGTGAAACTTTGTTTCTCTCTTTGTTTTATGTAGCCGTATTTGTACATATGTGAGCTTGTAAGCCATTGCAAGAGGCTAAATAGTGTTTGTCCAGGCAAGAGCCAGTGGTGGCTTAGACTAGAAGTGTAGCCATGCAGATGGAGAGAAGTGGGTCTTAGTTGTAAGAGGCAGAGGCACCAGGTCTCGATAAGAAATTGGATCTGGGGCCAAGTGTGGGAGATGTCAGGGGTGAGTCCTGGGTTTCTGGTGGGAGCAAGATCAGTCCACTTTAAGGGAGACTGACCCTTCCTAGAAGCTGTCCTCCCGGTGGCTGTTCTACCACCGAATTCTCTAGCATCTCTCAGCTGCAGCTGATGGGACTTGGGGTTGGCATATGACTCAAATCTGTAAGCTGGCCATGAATTTAGGAGACAACATGTCACCCAAACTGCCTAAACAGAGGGGTTGAGCCAAGAATAAATTCTCTCTTAAATTTGAGGTGAGTAGTGAGCAAACTGGTGGCAGTGGATTGCATGAACCCATGTGGGCGAACAGCAGCTCTGGAGTGATGGTATGGCAACTGGTCTTTCTTTGTATTATGTAAACATATCGCTCCATTTAGGTGTTCTTCAGTGTCTTTCAATACAGTTTTTTTAAATTGAGGTAAAATTGGTACATTAACATCATATAACTTCCAGGTGTACACCAGTATAATTCTACATCTGTGTACATTACAAAGTGATTACCACCCAAAGTCTAATTACCACCTGTCACTATCCATGCATTTGACCCCTTTCACTCATTTTGCCCACCCCCAACCCCATTCGCTTCTGGTAACCACCAGTCTGTTCTCTGTATGTACGAATTTTGTTCTGTTTGTTTTGTTTCCTTTTAGACGCCATGTATGAATGAGAGCGTACGGTGTTTGTCTTTCTCCACCTGACTTATTTCACTTAACATTATGCCCTCAGGGTCCATCCATGTTGTTGTAAATGGCAAGATTTCTTTCTTTCTTTTTTTTGTTTTAATGGCTGAGTAGGATTCTGTTGTGTATACATATCACATCTTCTTTCATTCATTCATCCACTGCAGGACATTTGTGTTGTTTCCATATCTTGGCTGTTGTAAATAATGCTACAATGAAC